AAGCGTGTTGCCCTAAATTAGAAAATATGTAGGACGTTTTGTCTGTATTTTCACAGACCTGTCTATACATAGAATAAAGACGCAGTTGGGGACGTTTAGTCAACATTCGATAATGTGAGCCATAAATCAGTCATACACAGGATTATGAAGTGAAACCTATGGTGCAGACGGCTGGCCTGTAGCCAACATACAGTATGAACAAAGGTTGCCTCTCCAATTCTAACTAGAAACTTGTTCCCTGTAGTGTCCTGTCCAAATTTAATTTCAAATTCAAATGATTTTTCAGTTTTTCTTAATTTCTCTCTCTCTGCCTCCCTCCTCCTTTTTCTAATTTGCTGGCCACAGTTAGAAATCAGCCGACTGGGACACGGCAGTAATTGAAGTCTCCACAGTGACTGCCTACAGCACCGCTTTTAGTGATTCACGGGGGAGGTTTCCTGGGGGAAACTCAATAAGCTGCTCAGCGTTAGCTATAGTCATCATCAGACTTTTTCCACCGCACAATGTAGAACAACACTTGTTGATAACATCTCAAAAAAGCATCAGGAAGCATGACCTATGACAAACTGATAATACCAATACACAGGATTCAAGGAGCATAAGGGTAATTCATTCAAGTGCAGAGATGCTCATAGAACTTAAGTCTGATTAATAAAAGTCAGTGTTTGAATTGAGAGAAGGTGGATAAGTAGTATTATGCTGGTGATATGATCAGATGGCATGAAGTGACCTTCTCTATGCTTTTACTAGGATACTGGCATGACTGGATTCTAAACACTTATTTTTAAAAGTAGTATTTATTGCTTAACATGAAAAAAAAAATTATAATGAGGGAAAGATTACCTTTACCTTTTGTAATCAGAAGCAGTTTCTGAATGTATAATAAAAAAATAAAAATAAAAATAAAAGAATCAGAAACAAACAGCACAGCCAGAGTTGTACTGACTCCCAATTAATGACTCTTAAGAACTGCTTTTTTAGTGAATCAAACACATACAACTTACAGCTAAAGAGACCGACTTAAATCAGTAGTCACTAATTGGCTGTTAATAAGACAATGTGTAGTTAAAGATGCACATTATGAGTTCTTTCAGTAGTATTTTCTAAAAAATAAATGAATCTGAAAATTATTTGTTATTGTTATATTGTATATTTAAAGCTAATTATTGAATTATATGTATGCCACCTTAACAAAAACAGCAATAAAAAGTCATTAAAAAGATTAAAATATCCAGAACCGGAATTGTTATGAAGAATCTGAACAGTTAAATTTTTTTATTCAGTTATACATTACACGTTAGAGCTCTTACATAACTATAAGTCTCTTACAACACTATACATACCCACATTTCAGTCCGATGAACAACGTGAAGATACAGTAGAGCTCTTTCCACCAGTTCTCTTCAGCTTTGCCTTTGTTCTGTTTAAAACCTGTCAAGCAGTCTTCATTTTAGTTTTAAATGACTGAAAAAAGATGAAAATTCACAGTTCAAAAGGTCTTTTCCCTTTAAAAGCATTCTGGACGTTTATATTGCTTGTACTCTTGAAGGTTTTCAGATCCTGGGTAAGGTTAATGCACACATTTACAGTGGAGCAAAACAGATCTTTTCAGACCTTGAATATGTTTGACCTTAAAATGGAAGCATGATACATATTCTATATGACATCCAGACCGCTCTGAATCACATGTAGTTGTGACCATTCCCTGATTTGTGTGCAGCAAGGGTGCACCTGGAACTGCATACTGGGACTGTGACCGGCGCACAGTGAGCGTGTGATGAATGACTTTATGATCGTGCACATTTAACAACCTCCTGAATCAGGTAAAATCAAAACCCCATGAGTGGAAGCAGGTTTGTAATTCAGCAAGCTTCTAGAAACATCAACATGTTGAGCCTGGGTTAGAGAGCGAGGGCTTGATTATGTCGCAATTGGGCCCGTGTGAAAATTGTATTCCATTATTGCAGCTGTCAGAATATTGCACTTCTGAATTTATCATATTCCGGGTTCTGTGCAATATCTTTCACTCGAAACTGGGAACAAAAAACAGCATTTAGCCTTAAAAACACACCATATCTTACCCGTGTGGTCTGTGTGACGCAGTCCTCACTCTATAATCAACGCCTGGAAGGAAGCAGATGACATGATTGCCTGTTGAGGAGCTGATGTTACTAATTAAAACAGGAAAAGTGATGACTCCTCTCATCCTCACTGAGTTATCATGCTTGCTGTTGGCTTTGGCCTTGACGTAGCCCCTCGCTTCTTCCTCCTGATAAGTGCAAGAAAGAGGCTTTAGGAGAAAAAAGGAAGGAAGGCCAGAGACACTATCACCTCGGTTGTTGTGGTTTTAGCTCATGATGCAATTTTGAATATAAAAAACAACAAAGATGCTTTGGATTGGAACAACAAAAACAACTATGCAGGATGTTTTGAATTTTTTTAAATGGGTAGTTCACCCAAAATGTATTTACCCTCATGTCGTCCTAAACCTGTATGACTTACTTTCCTCTGTGGATCACAATATAAGTTATTCTGAAGAACAACATTGGACCCCACTGGCATTTTTTAAAATATCTAAAAAGAACGTAGATATTTTTGCCTCTTTAAATGAAAATATGCTTCAGGAATAAGGTTTCTTTTCCCAGAGCAGCAAGGATGAATTTACAGGCCAAATGCATATCACTCTTCAGCTGTTTAAGAGTTTTCCCGTGGTCTACATAATCTTTAATGAATCAGAGTGTATTTACACAAAAAGGTCAGAGATATTCCTCTAAGCACTCCAGAGCTGGACCAGGAGGCTTGACATTAATCCTGAGGGTAATGTGGGCCTTCCTGTGGCTAATGAAATCTGAAGCCAGAAAATGGCCGCACCTAATGACACTCCCTGACAGTTTTTGAATTAAACAGCCATGGCTGCTGGGATCAGTCTAAATAGCACACAGATGGCCAACACTATTTTTCTCTTCTTTTCTACCCCTAAGCACTTGCATATGGGATCTAATTTACTATCTCAGGAACACTGCTCTCAAAAAAGCTATTCTGGATATAGTGCTTTTTGCCCGTTTGTTTCACTTGGGTTCTGAAATATTTATTGCTAAAAGAAACCACCACAGGTTCACAAATTATTACTGATCAAAATGAAAGGGATAATTCACACAAAAAAAACAGAAGAAAACTCTGCCATTATGTAATCACCCTGATGTTGTCCCTGTATGACTTCTGTGGAACGGGGGGAAAAACATTTGAGAGCTTTTTGTCCATTTAATGGAAGTTAATTGGCTCCAATGTTGCTTGGCTCTCAACATTCTTTGAAATTCTTTAGAATATTCATTTTTGGGTGGACTATCCCTGTAAGCTACCATTCATATATTGCATCACATCATTATGAATAGGAATTTACTAATTTCTTTGACTGCACTGGAAATAACTGCTAGTTTTTTATATCATTATTTGCAAAAAAATAAAAATGGGAGACCTAAATGGGAGACTCGGCAGTGTGTGCATGCATATCCACACATACATACATCATTCCCTTCATGTAGGAAAAGCATCATGTAAAGGCACATCATCAAGCATCATGATCTTACTTTGTCAAAATTTTTCATAAACAACCTTGACACAATTTTACAAATGCATCCAGTTGTTAAAGTATTTTTTCAAACTGTGTGCGCTGACAAAAATATACTTTGGAGGTGTTACAACACAGAACAGATTTGAACCTGGCTGTTTCTCATTAGTGATGGTGTTGCGTTTTCTTTTAAATATTTTGACATTCTGCTCATCTGCACGATGGAGAAAAAACATAAAACATAATATAACACCCTTTTTCTAAATACAGCAAGTAAAATTATCCTTCAGAAGGGAAAAACTGCACAAGATGCTTAAGACTCAGGGGACTCAGACTCGAGCAAGATACACATTAAAATAAAAATTCATTTACTGTGTGAAATTATATGCAGGTTTATTTACCCTGTTATATGAGGATAGTATATGAGATGCAAATTATGTGCTTGATAAATGGATTTAATTTCTCATCACGCAGTAGTGTATTCTCTCTAATAATTCAATTTACCAACTGTTAACTCGTGGGACTGGGAGACGTCTCTTGTCAGAATATTTCATATATTTGTGCCATCTCTAATCAACGTCAAATGAATGTTTCCAAGTCCATTCTTGACATCTAAAACAAACAAGACATTCTTATGTACAACTGAATAAAAATCACTTTTTGACAGTTCAATGAAGGGTACCTGAAACACTCATCAAGGATCCCTTGCTTCTATAATAGCTCTCACTCTTCTGGAAAGGTTTTCTACTAGATGTTGTAAATGGCTTCAAGGATTTACTCACATTCAGACCCAAGAGCATCAGTGGGGCCAACCAGTAATGTTGGGTGATGAGGCCTGGCTCACAGTCGGTGGTCCTATTCATCCCTAAGGTGTACAGTTGAGGTTCAGGTCTGGGCTTTGTGAGGACCAGTCAAGTTCTTCCACACCAGACTCAGAAACCCAGTGGCCTTGCATTGCAATGCTGGAAGAAAAACGGTACACAGCACTTTACTAAAAATGTTAATGGCGTTTTCATGGTTCAATGCTTGATTTTAGGCAACTTGCATTGCTTAAAGTTACTAAAAGTGTACTTTTACTTAGTCTCAAGCTGCTGTTTTGGAAGTGAGAAGATCTCCTGCACCTAACGCCACAGTAACATTTCTCAGATAGACAGCTCCACTCTTATGCTGTGAGTGTCTTTTACCTCCCACATTAAAAAGCTGTTTCAGCCACTCTCTAATCGCTGAGATCTGAGAAGCTTTACATGACATATTTGGCACTCACAGTCAGGCCAAGATGATGATACGCTGTTAGTACCTCCCGCTGGCTCAGACTTTTTTGGCAGCTCTTAATGTGATGATCAGAGTTGGGAATGTGCTCCCATTTTTGAGTCACTCAGCATTTACCACAGTCCTGTACTGGATAGGGCCACAGTGTGCTCTGTAATGTCATGCTTCGCTCTCTTCTGGGTCAGGTCTGGCTGTCAGTAGGGTTGGTGTCCAGGCACACAGCGCCTCAGGAAATCCTAAGGACACAATCAATAAGCCAGAACTGACTGACATAATGATTCATTCAGTGCACATCCCTCACTGAAATTTCTGTCCCTGTGCACAAACCTTCTATGGCAGACTGGGACAGTTAAGAAAAGTTGATTGATCCGGACTGAACCAAACATTGAAGTTCATTTGCAGGCTATGAGTGGACAAACTGTGCATTACAATCAAGTGGGCTGATGGCAGAGTGCCTCTTCTGCGATATTTTGAATCAGAGAAGCAAATGTCATCTTGGCCCGGGCAGAATGAGGCATGGCCCTTATGTCTGTAATCCGACACAGAGCGATTAGTGGACACTATGAGCACCAACTGAAAATATTCACACACACATTATATAAGAAATTTTAAGATATTTAGCTGAGTCACACCCTTGTAAATGAGTGTCCATGTGTATGTGATTAATCTGAGGGATCTTAGGCATTCCATTACATCAGTACTAACAATCACAGTACAAAGTGGGTGTGGGGATCTGAATTCATAGTTTGGGTCACAAAATATGCATCTCGGACCCAAACTCTGAATTCAGGTTCCCACACTTCATGAACTAGAAAGGCCTAAACAATGCTAGACTCAAATCTAAAGGTCAACTATACATCAAAACTGAATTTCTCAATTGAAATTCTTCATGAATGTGCCTGTCTTATTATACACAATTCATTAGTGAATGTTATACTGTAGGAAATGTCCATAATCTTCCATGATCTTTTATTAAAAAATTTAATATTCTCCACATCTGAAATCAGTTATTTTCTGCTATAAATATGGGCTATTTACAGTAATTACAAAAAATTACAATATTAACAACAAATATGTACCAATTATGTATCTATATACTATACTATATACTGTACACACACACACTTGTACATATGCCTGCAATCTCAATCTCAATCTAATCCATCACATTATGAAGGTTAAATGCATGCGAAAAGCCATTTCTTGCTATTTTTAAAATGAGTGTAATCATAAAATTTAAGCTGCAGATCCTTTGAGAGTCTGTGGTAAAACAGCTGTGAAAAAGTACTGAACATAGAAAGTCACAGATAACAGATAAGAAAAAGTGTCTGAGCAGCTAAATTACCACATGAGACAGATGAAAGATTTCTCAGTACTATTTTGAAATGCTGGTCAGCAGCTTACATTGTGTGCTGACTAGTGTGAAATTGAAAAATCTGCACAATGTGACGCAAACCATTTCAGTCTCACCCTTTAAATCACAGGTATCAGTCAAAATACTAAAAAAAGAGAGAGATGAATCTTTGGGATTCAGCAAGAACACAACCTGAGCATGACAAAGAAGAATACGTGAAAGTTTGGTGGAAATAGCAAGCAAACAACATCCTATATACACACACAAATGCATGTCAATACACATAAGAAGTGTTTTAAACATATTCCTCTAAATTTGTGCTATGTGGACTATACTGATTCCCCCACTGAAGGTCTAGTTGCTACGTAACAGAGAAGGGTCAGTGGCACTGTGAAGGGTGAATGGATTCCTCCAGAACAGTCCATTTATCAAATGCTGCCAACATGCCAAACGCACAAAGGACAACACATCCACCGCTAGATCCTGTTCCTTTCACCGTTTCTTTCTAACTCCCCCCTTTCCTTCTTTTATCTTTGTCCCTAAATCTTACAAAAAGTTCACAAATACAACTTTGAAATTCCACATGAGATGTTAAATGTTAGCTAAACACAGAAATGGGACTTCAGGTATATGATCATATGAAAATTCTTCCAAATTTTCACGTTTTGTCATAAAAACCACCACTTAAGGTTCCTTGAATGACCTCGCTAATAAGAACTCTGTACAATAGGAAAAAGATTTCATATGTTCTCTATCGCTATGAGAGCAAAACAAATCCGCTGCTAATGAGTCCCTGATCATGTTGAAAAATGACCTGAACTTGCACCCCCCCCCTCCCCCCCTCTTTACAGG